AATTTTCTCCTGGATCCTGGAGGCTATTTGCATTCTGTGGTCTGAATTCCGTGGTCTTTGTATTTTCTTCCGAAAAAAAAAATTTTATGCAAGCAACGCTGAATTTGATAATAGAGCATGGTTGCATAAAGCAAACGCAGTCTTCAGAGAGATGATCAAATATAACAACGAAGTTCACATCGTTGCCATAAAATTCCAGCAAAAAATCATTTCTATTATCAGCCACTTTGCATTGCTTTGACGACGCAAAATCAGGCAATACGCAAAAATATTGCACAAAGCGACAAAGATGAATGCTAAAACGAATGAAGGCTACTAACCAACATTAATACTTTCGTTTGCATTTGCACGATGAAACAGCGATGTGAGAAGATTTTAAAACGAGATAAAATACAAGACTTTGGAGAGTACGACGGAATGTTTTCAGATAAAAGATTCAGCAAAATTTTTTTGATTTAAACCAAATAAATTATCAAATGATCTCGCGAAACTGATTGCTGTCTTATCGTCCTCAAAACATGTCTGTTTTTTTCTGATTTTAAGTTTTCTTTTTGTGAACGAGTGATCAAAATTTCCGAATATTTGATGAATGATTTGTTTCAACAGTTATAAGTTCAATAAATCAAACGAATGTTCAGAGAGTTGATGTGACTGCATCGAAATGTACCATAGCATACACGATTAAAGCTGTTCAACTCTGAAGAGGGTGCACTGCTCAAGCAGCTTTACTCATTAAAAAACAATTCAATTAACTCGTCATCTTTCATAAAAAAGCAAACTGAGAAATTACTGTCATCCAATCGATCAGAACCGCTGCGTGTAAAAACTATTGTAACAATTCTTTCAAACTGATTTACTCAACCAATATACACTACCTTAGCGATTGGAAATTGAATGTGTGTTCATAACACCGATCAAAACAACATACAAACAAATTGAGACCCTCAAAATAGCGCTTTTTAAACTTTTTCCATCATGATCCCGTCTCATCTGATAAAAATCAACGTGACTGCCAATTCCATATGTATCATTCTCATAACTACACATCTTTTACGTTATGTTATTATATGTTCAAAACAAAAATTTCACTTCTCCCAAATTTCTCGCAGGTTCTTGGGGATCACAAGCCACAGTTTCAGTACGCATTGCTTTCAACTATCATCGATGCGATGCACACAAACAGCAATAATATCAAATCCTTATTGTTAGAATTTTTTTATTACAATAAATCATGATGAGACAACAACGAAATCGCAAATAATAATTCACATCTCAACAAAATTTACACCATCTCATACCGTGAGTAAAAATCAACTGGTACGATGTGTAATCAATGAAACGAATATTAAAAAGCGATTTATTCGATTCGAGTGGTAAATCTGAAATAAATATGCGGCAAGGTTATGAAAGAGGAATGAATAGCGCCACATTATGCCAAGTGAATGCCTTTTGTAATAATATTATAGTATCAATAAACATATTCAATACGAATGAAATGTGTAAAAAGACAGAGATTATGCATAGACTTATATGCATTCACTAAATGAAAGTACGGAATTCAGAGCGCAAACACGCAACTGAACAGTTATAACTGAATGAATGCTTATCAAAGGCTCAACAAATGGTTATGAGTTTCTAACGTCTGAGTATTTATTTTGTGTAGTGCATCGTTGTGTTATAGTAAGCGATTGCGGTATAATTCGTATATCATAAGTAATCGATATGATTTCTGATATATCGCACAAAAGTCGTTTGATTTTGTTCATAATAATATTGCTATCGCACAATGATAATTAAAGAACCACAAATACTACTACTAATAATAACGAATCGAATAGAAATTTGTAAAGTAAACCATTCCGTCTTGATCTATCAACTAATTTTTGCACGGGCTTTGAATGAGAATGGTTTTTGCAAGTGCTGAATGGTTTCAAAAGAATCGCATNGACTCAACACGATTTCGAAACATTGGCAATTAGAATAAAAATAGTTAAGTGCAACTCATGCTTCACTGGTCTTAAGCAATTGAGTGAGTTGAATTGCTTCGTTTCACCGCTGACCGCTGGCACTCCAAGGAGTGACACATAACTGATTATGAATATGATTCTAACACAGGCGATTACATCCGTCCGGTGCGGAAAATGGCTGGCGAAAATTAGGAAATAATAAGATCACAATGGAGGAATCAAAACAATTGAGTGATATCCGCCAAATAGCGATGAACAAGTGTAGCATTGGGGGTGAACTTGTGGCTTATATTAATCATTTTACGTATAAACTGATGAAAACTCATGAAAAATTCATAAGAAGGGAAATTTTCAACGAGAATTACTCACTTCCGATGGTGATATGTGTGCACTTTCACGAAGAAATCACAAAGCTTGAAGAGGAGAAACTGAAATGAAAATGAGCATTCCTTGTGCATGAGTCATCTCTATCAAAAAAAATAATGATCCCAAACATCAGATGAGGGTGCGTCTCATTGGCTATCCTAATTTTTATAAGCCAAATCAGCACCAGATGTAGTGAATACTACATTCTTAAAAATATCGTCACTTGCTTAGACACCTCTCAATGTCGTTATGCCTACCATCTCAATATTATTCATCAATTTCGAGAACTACTGTTAACTATTGATAAGAAGAAGTGGTTTGTAGGATCTTTTCATGATTTCTAGAATTGGTTGAAGAGAACCAAATTCGATAATCTACACTATCAAGAAGTAATGCAAACCATGGAAAAAGCAAAAAGAAACTTTGAAATATTGTTTTCGGAAGCATTTAATAATCTTTATAATCGAAGGCATTTCATTCGTCTCTCTTCTTAATCAATCACCAATTCAAACACATCACTGATACTTGATCGATGTTATTGATGACTTTAATGTCCAACAGCCTCCAAATTGCTGTATTTCGTTCTCATTGTGCGAATTTTTTTGCCAAAATCATTTTGTTCCCGAAGAAACTTTCACAACAAGTCTATAGCTCTGAGATGTGAGCGAGACTAATCAATCAAAATTCAGAAGAATTCCTCAAACTAGCACATGGCTATTTGTGAATAAAACTGGACAGTTCAGGTTGACCGTTCCAACGATCCTCTCACCTCTGTTCGGTCGTCTTTTCTTATTCGTCCCTCGAAACTTCCAGTTTCGGCTATCGATCTATATGAAAATGAAATAAGCGTTCGATACGAATGAATGCAATTCACATGTATTCCCTCCCATCAAACCATCACATCTGAACGCCATCACTGTCAATCAAATGTGCGCAACAGCAATTAATTGCACTGCTCTTTGACTGCGCACCGGGTGTGTACCCCCGAAAAAGCACAATGATAACGATAAACAACAATTATTGCGAGATTAAAAAATATATTTGCATTTTCAAATGAAACAAACAAAACAAATCAAAAGAAACAAACAAACAAACAAACAAACGAACCAACGAAACACAACAAAAACCAGTAATATCTTGCACGGAACATTACATCGAAATATGCGAACAATGGTTTCTTTCTTCTCAGAAATGGTACCATAACGTTTTGAATTTCATGCAGTAATGAATCAGAATGTGCTTGAGTGCGGGATATCGTAATGCATCGCATCATTAATCTAGTGAATATGCATGCAGATTGATAAAAGTGGCTTAGGTTCTGAAGTGAAACTTGTCTCCGCAAAAAATCAACACAAACTGAAATTCATCAGTTAAAGGCGTGACAATTCCAATTTTTAACAGTAGCCACTGCACAGACATAGACAGCTAACGAGTATGGGAAGTTCATAGACATCCACATAAATAAATTCAACAAAAAACATTGAACAGAATCGCAAGAAAAGGAGAGATTTCAAAGAGACAATAGCAAATACAGTGACGTACACAGCGAGAGTGGTAGTGGTTATTAAAAGATAATAACGGTGGTAAGTAATAATTACGATGGAAAACGATCACTACAAAATGTTGATAAAAACAACAATAACAATAACAACAACAAATCTAATGCAATCAAAAAGATTAATCCCACAAAAAAATAAACAAAACCATTTTAAGATATCAATTTTCAAAAACAATAATATAATGAGCTGAAGAATGTACATTTTTGATATTCTCATACCTCCTTTGCGCTTTTATGATAATATATAATCATAGAACTATTCCGAAGTTTTGATCAACGATATATAAGATTGCCGGGGATTGACATGACGAAGAGGAAAGGGGATTGAATGTCGGAAAAATTCTTTTAACGGAATAGTCATAGCCAGTAAGGAGATTTCTTAGGACCAGTCTCACTTCCGGGAGGAAGATTTTCTATAAGAGGGAACCAATTGTCTGAAGCAAACACGAAAAAATAACGATAACGTACCATTCATGGAGACGAAATTGGTTCTGATGAAAAAGGATTCATAAAGCTAAAACAATAGAAAATACTGATTGAAACATGGATGGAATAGACAAGTTGAATGAGGTGCATAAGAAGTGCATAATAATGATTACCGCTAATCGATATAATGGCATTATCATATCAATCCATCCAATATTTTTGCCATTATCAACGTCCGATTACATTTCACTTCAGAGAAGTTGCTAGGATTGAACAAATTCCAACGACCACAGAATAGAGCATTAGCAAAACGATTGGCTACAGCAAAGACATGACTTTTTCATTATCCACTTGGTTGCTGGCGAAAGATCACATCCACAACTCGATTCTAAATGTTCCCTCCTCAACTCCCTCTCCCTCTTCTGAGATAACTTAAAACGAAAAAGTTGACCTGAACTTATAAATGCCATCATTATCATGCAACCAGTCGAAGTCGATAGCCATCAAAACAACAAAGAATTCAATTCATTCAAAAACATTCGTTGAGAATATAAATAAATATCGTAATGAAACAAATCACGCTTAACGAACGTAATTCCAAAACGAAATCATTCGATAAGCAAAAACAAATACGGAACAATCAATCAATTCAAACGATTAATAAAACAAAAATAATATCATTATTAATCATCACTATTCGACTCATCCGAGCCACCATCTGATTTTTCATCATTACCATTATTATTATCATTATCACTACTCCCGTCAGCCTTACCACTACTTCCTTGATCACTAATTCCGTTCAGTTTTTCATTGTTTTTTGCATTTTCTTCTCTCGCACGCCTCGCGTCCTCTTCAGCTTCGTATTTTTCGAGCGCAGCACGATCGGCTTCATTCAAGAATTTTGCTTCAATAATATGCGGAACAAGATCTTTCATCATGCCAAATGCTAAAAATCGTCGCTTCTTGAACAGTTTCAGCAGTGGCTCATCAGCCAGTACGTATCGCTTATCCTGAAATTTTACTCATTCCAATCAAACGATAACGCAATGCGCCCAATTACGATTCGCTTTTCTCTTTTGATACGTGTCGCATTCCAATAACTTTTCAAACATTAACAATAGAGCGAATAAATCAAATAAGGCACTTTATGGCTCCTTTTATACTATCAGTAAATGAACAAAGCTATTTGAAATTTAGGGATACAAAGAAATTTGGAAATTTGGTACTTCTAGAACTGATAGCGAGTTCTTAAGTGTAGCACGATGTGACAGTAAATGCAGAAAATATAACGATGCTGTCTTATTGAACGTGCTCTGTTGCAATTGAAGGAAAAAAAAAGATGAACAAAAACGGATTAAATGTCACCTTAGGATCCATGAGATTGTTGGAACGGAAGTAGGCCCACATCGATTTGACCACATCACTTCGTCGCATATATTTCTTGCCCACAATTGATGATAAATCTTCTGTTAAAGCACAACACACACTATATGCAGTCTGAAAAAACAAATCATTTTAACGCTCTGTTCAGAATTATCGTGATGTGTCCACTACTGACATACTTCCAGCCTTATTACTCTCGAAAAATTACAAAAATACTCTGAACTGGATCCGAGTGAACGTTTGAAAACCCGCGGAATATCCCTCCCTGATTGTTCAGCTCAGGGCATTTAAAAGATTATTTTGAGCATCAGAGTTGAAATAAATCCATCTCAAAAACAAATGAAACAATCAATTCGTTTGGTCCACTTCAAATACAATTAATTTGTTGATGTTTCACAGCCTGACACGATTTGACCACTCCAAAAAGATCCCAAACAAAATAATGATGACTTGTAACCTTTCGTTTCACTCCTCCTTCAGCCGGTTTTTTCTTCTTTTTGGGTGCTTGCTTCTTGACATTGGCCGCAGCAGCTCGCCGTTTCTTTTGGCCTACTTCGAGCAAATCCGAATCGGAGCCTGAGGCTGCACGTTTTCTTGAACTCTGAATTACGACAAGTTACTCGAAATACGAACTGCTCCATAAATCATTTCTGATTTATCTCTATTTTATCTGCTCAACTTGAACGGCTAATTTTGATGGGCATTTTATTCAATCACTCAAGAATACGAACACACTGCGAAAAACTGGAACCGTGATCGTTCCTTTCGGCTCAACGACTACTGAATTTACGAAAAAGGTTACTACTTCACATACCAATTAAGGTTTCACTTTCACAATTACGCAGTAATATAACAGAGTATTCACATACCCGTTACTTTGCTAATTTCGAATCAGTGGGTATGACCAGCATATTGTCATTAATATAGAATATTCACAAACTTTTTGTTTCTTTTTGGGCGTTGTAGAATCAGTGAAAACAACACCATCGTCAGAATCTGAGTCATCCGAATCAGAACTTTCTTTAGCGGCAGCTTTCTTCGCTGTTTCTGCGTTTCGTTTTTCAACGACCTAACATGAAATTATAGTCAGAAAAGTGATTTTAAAAAGAATTAATTAATAGGAGATGAGAGCCATAGAATAAAATGTGTTAAATTACCCATAATGGTGGCACATAAAATGTTTGAAACTACGATAAAATGTTATAGAATGAAGGCACTGACAACTGTTTGCAATTGGTCCTACTGAGATTCATTATGAAAGGTTGAATGAGAAATGGTCAAAAAAAGGTTTAATTTATAATGTGATATTACGAATGACAACGCAACGAACCTCCATAGCGATCGTGTCAATTTGAGACTTGAACGGTGAAAAGTCAGCATTGTATTCTTTCCGCAGATTTTCTCGAATCAAACGACTCGTCAGTTTGTCCAGTCCTTGAAAGTTAACACTATAAATCCTCAAACGGAAACTCAATCCACCGCATTTGTTGGAATTAATAAAGTCGACGAATCTAAGATTCAATCAAAACATAATTTTACTCAAAGCTGATTTTTCGAGATTTTTCGTAACTAATGTATTTTCATTTGACAAAATGTGAAATTCAAATCCCCAAAATCTTTTCCATAGTAATACTCATGTCACAGATTTGCGATGAATTAGATTATCCCGTTGAAAGGGTTTCACTTAAGGGTTTCTTAATTCACTCAAACGTGTGTTATCAATATGTTTCTGCTTTCCAAAACGAAGGTTGCTGCAATTTTCCTTAGAAATAGAGTTCCCAAGTTCAAACGTGAGACTAAGGCTATGTGCAACGTTAAGGTTGATGATGTTATAGGGATGACGTACAATGAAAACCGAACACTTTCGAAAGGACCAGCAATAATAATAATACCATTGAACAAACTTAAAATTAAAAAAACCAACCGAACTGATTGATCTGTTCGATGATCGATTTGCGAAGAACATCTTCGGTCACTGGTAAACGAGGAACTTCGCTTGAATTTGACATCTGCAACAAACTATTATTTGTGGTTGGGAAACAAAACTTCAAAGCCGTAAAAAGCACGTTCTATTCACAATACAATCATACGGTCTAAAAGATCACTGATATGAACAAAACTGTAAACGTCTCACTTTAGAGAAAAATTATTTCTGGAGGAAGCGCCCACAACGTTGTTTTAGTGCGTTAAATTAGTTCAAAGCATTAAACTGTTGTTTCGGATGCTATTTTCGTTTTCTTATCAATTCAACTTCGATGTTTGGCCACACTCACAGCCACATATCGCTGTGAAGAGAAGGCAAGTCTTTGTTTTACTTTAGAACGTCACCAAATTCATTGATCGTTTATTGACTTTAATCATATGTTTCGGTTCGAGTGCTTCGGACATTTTGTTATTGAGAGAAAAACCTAACTGTTTTACAAGTGAACTCTCACAGACAGAACTCTCTTACTACATCGAGAAATCAACTGTTTCATGTGATTTCACTTCGATTCCGTCACGGGTTGTGACAAATCATTCTTAACTAAAACATCCAAAAGAGCATATGTAAACAGCTAATGTGACACATATGATCAACTTCGACATGCATTTCAATTCTGNAATTCTTAACGCAAAAACGGACATCACTCTCAATTACTATCTATGCAAGAGTCATTGCCACTGTTGTTCATTGTTCCCGTCCAATAAATCAACCTCACCTCTCCCAATTGCAATTCACTGATAACAATCAACTGGTAAATTAATTATAATTATTAAGTGAAACGTCTTGAATACGGCGCGAACGTATTGGCTCAATACCAATCACAGCAACTGAATGTGAACAATCTTTGCAAGACTGCCTAGAGTATAATTGCTGAGTGGTGTATAAAAGCTTATGATTACCTACACATTGCATACTTCATACGCACATAATAAAACTTTTTAGTTAAAGTACACTGTGCATACGGGTTTCGTGAATTCCACATTGTTTATTTACAATTCATGTGCAATGAATTCAACTCAAATTTAAAATCCCTAACCCCTCATTCCTTCTAAGTGAAGTCGCCTGAACCAAAAGAAACGATGTTTCGTGTATATGCGCACAGAATACTTACATTTTCATCTGCAGTAATTGATATGTGGAAGAAATAACTACAGTCTCAAAAAATGAATCCACCAACTCGCGACTCATCGACTAAATTCATAATGGTGTAAGGTTTATCGTTAACAGCTGGATCTGGCGTGATAAAATAATTCCTTTTCACAAATCGAATATAAAATGCATTGCGACAGAAGTTATGTAATAATTTATTTGTCTAATATTTTTTCAAAAAATGAATACAACATCGAATTTAATTATTTCGAATGAGATAACGATGGCGACGATCGTGAGAAATTCATTCGATGTGATGCAGCTGGGGTATCTTCATTAGTTCGCCGATTCTGTAATCAAGTATACATTAGTTTAATTATATGACGATTTCTCCACATAAACAATTCATACTGAAAGGAACATTTCGATAAAAACAATCACTTTTTTGAACACAATTATTCGTTAACAGTAAACTTGTAAGAAGCCATTCAAAGTTGACTAGGGAGACGACTTGTGCAAACGATCATGTAATTGCTAATGCTAATGACAACAAGTAATGGCAAATATCTCAAACAACTCATCATCTCAAATGAACTCATCAAGCAATTTCAATGCACTTGCATTTGTATATGATTGTCCCGTATTCCAAGCTCCTCCTCCTCGGTTTGGTGAATTCAGATTCCAAGTCGGTCGATGCGCTGAGCTAGTGTTTGGTGATCTAGTAGGGTGGCTATTGCATGATGCAAGTCTAGTGGATGGAGGCAGTTGAATTTCGGCGAGAGTGTGCATTTGCTGTTGATCGTTTTGATGATGTTGCTGTATATTTTCAATCCCGCTAGTACCTTGTTCGGTATCCGAGTCTATCTCCATATCACATACCTTGAAATTTGAATCAATCAATTCGTTACTTGAAAAAATTATTTGCAACAACTATTTCATATTGTGATTTGTCTGCTTGTAATCGAACTTCCACTCTCATTTCTTGATAATTCATATACATAATCAGTTTTATATTGCACGCATTATAAAGGTTCATTATTTTGAAATAGCAATTGCCTGATGCCTAATCAATTCATTAAGAATAATGCATTCAGTTAGCTGCTCTGAACACTGTGAGACGCAATAAGACGATGGAATTTGACTGATGAAGTGGAAATGTTTTTGGAGAATAAAATATGACTTGGTGGTTTTCCTCCATATGATGCACATCATCTGAAGCCTCATCACCGGACATGCCAAGATATGCTTCCACACGTGGACGAATATCGCTCAACAATGTCATTATGCTATCATCCGTACCAATACGCTGAAACAATCAGATTGTACGGCTGCAACAAATTGATCGTCTCAGAGATATGCGTAAAATAATTCATCAACATAACAATGATAATACTTCGATCCTAAGACAAAATAACCTTTTAACTGCGCGAATTTAACATTAGGACATTGATTTACAAACGAAACAGTAGCTAAAAGGAGCTGAAAGTGAGGAGCTAAAAACTTGACTAGTTAAATACGATATAATTCCATCGTGCACTTCAGTTTCACGGAATAAAAAGGAGAGCGAACCTGAAAAACGATTGCTTCACATCGCTTACGAAACCGTGAATTCAATTCCCTGAGTAATTTCTCACGAACTTCGTTCTTGGTTAAATACATCGACCGACTCGCCAGCACATCATCAACCAAACGTTCAGCTTCGGCACACAATTTCGTAAAGCTTTCCTGAATTCTTCATACGAAATAAATAATAATTCTTTCCTCAAATAAAAAATAACTACGAGTAGTTAAACAGAAGCATGAAGTCACAGAAAGAATTCATTTAAAAAAATTAAGAACAAAATAAACTACATCAGCACTAATTTCTGCAAGATGCTTTCGTCTCACTTCATCGAAACGACCATCTTTTTTATATTTATCCACTAAATTTTCAACACCTTTTTGATTATCACTCGACAAGGACATCAGTTGTTCAATTTTATCACTGAAATTAAACAAAAATAATGACATAAATGACTTGTCCCTCACGCATCCACAAAATTTATATCGAAACAATGAAAAATGGTGAAAGAATTCATAAAACTATAC